TCTCAAGGATTTTCTGGCTCAAAGCAGCCCCCGGGGCTCCCGCAGGGCAGCCTCGGTGCTCCTGCTGCCCCTCCAGCTTGAATTTCCATGGCCAAAAGCTGCCCGCAAGTTCAGGCCAGCATTTTCCTGCCTCTCTGGCAATTTCCTGCGGCTGCGCTAACGCTTCAGCCCCGGCTCGCGCAGGGAAGGCTCCGGGCAGGGAGGGCACTGAGAGTGCGTGGGAAATTACATTTAAGACGAAGAGGAAGGGGATGGGAAGGAGCTTAGCTGGCTTTGTTCTAATAGCTGTAATCACCTGAAGGACAACCATGAGCCCCATTTCGCTGGGTGCTCCACAGCCCTGCCACGGCTGTCTGGCGGCAGCTCTCCCCACTGCTCCATGCCAGATTTCCCTTCATCTCCGATGGCAGCAGCATGCACTTTGTGCCTGCCTGGAATCAGTGCCCTCCTTTGGCTTTATCATATGAAAGATCCTGTTTACATAAACAGGGGAAAGGTTGGCCAGAAGGTGAAGATGAGGCCTCTTGAAGGGAAGGCGGTGGCTTAAATACTCCAAACTCGCTGTCTCACCCAGCTACCAAGTCTGGAAGGAGAAGAAAAAGCAGGAGTGCAATTTTAACAGGTTTTTTTCCCTCTTCCAACAGTGCTTTCAGACACGGAAGCTACCCACAGTGAGCAGGACCTGTGCCAAGAGGAGGAGGAGGGGATCTCTGCAAAGTAAGCTGGGCTTTTTAAAGGCTTTCTTCTTGTTTCGCTTTCCAAGACCGGTGGAGGTGGTGGGGGCGGTGACCCCGTGCTGGGGATCAGAGGGACTCCCACTGCCCGGTGCTTTTCCCCTGCTTTCTCCTAGCTGCAGCCTTCTCTCGTTATGGGTCTCTAATGGGAATGATAGCAATTTTCTGTGCTTAATTTCTTCCCTGTTTTAATGAGATAGTGAAAGGCAGTAAGTGCTTTCTTTCAGGTGAGTTCCTGTGCTGCCCTGCTCTCATGTACAAGGTTTATCTGTTGCACAAAGTGTTTATCTATGAACGAGCTCCACGGAGATCAAAAATCTTTCTACAAAATATTAATTAAACGAATAATGATACATTATTAAGGCTCGAAGAAGGAAATGAGGTGTAGCTTTGTTGAGGAGGTGCCTGGTGGAAATATTTACAGTATTCCTCAAATTTTGGTTATTCCTTTTTTTGCTGGGGGAGGAGGATAAACCTGGCTGTTGCTTCAGAGGTTCTGTAAACCGTTTGTCTTGATCGAGTCTAATGTGGGGGTTTGATGTGATAGGTCACATGGTGTCGGAGGGGGAGAGGATGTGACTGTGGTGATTCTGTTCCTGTTTCATGGTGGATAACATAAAACGTACCACTTACAGCCGTGAGTCTTGCAGGAAGCAGAAATGAGTCTGCCTGTCCTGGCACGGAGAAATGTGGTAGTGGTGATGGGGAGGGAAATGGCTGGTGGGAGAGTAGGCGTGGAGGATGTTTCGTTTTATAAATGTGTGACAAAGGAGCTAGTGCTGAGGAAAGAGCGAGGGGTAAATTGGTTAGCAGGGGGAATTAGAGGAGATGTGTGTGTAACAGGGTTTAATCCTTTAATGAGAAAAATATATCCCAGCTGCCTGTGTGGTGGGACGAGTTCAGGGACGAGCGCGGTGTTGCCTGAGAGCTTGCCCTTGCGCCCTGTGTTCTCTGCCTGCCACCACTCAGATTTATCTGAAGGATACTCAGGAGCTGGGATGGGGATCCATGATGGACAGCAAGTGAAAAAAGTCCGATGTGGCAGGAGTGAGGACCTGGGGGTGGGGATGCATTTGTCTCAAATAAAGGCTGGTCACCAAAGAGCACCCTGCCGGGTTGTTTTCTCTAGTTCCCGAGCCCATTAATAGGCTCTGCTCCCTTGGTTAGTCGGTGCCTGTGCGGAGCAGTAATGACAGCCAGGCTGAAGCCATCAATTCTAGGTCAGTGGTTGTGTGCTGGGGGTTTGGGATTGGGCAGGGGGAGGGGAGCCAGAGCTGGATGCCTGCCTCCGAAAAGCAGTGGGGAGCCTGCTTTAAGGCAACCTTGCCTGCACCACCCATAGCAGGGGACAGGCTGCCTGCACCCAGAGAGTGGGGATGGGCTTCCCCAAGGACCAAGTCACACCCCATTGCCCAGGACATGGTCTGTGTCTGGTAAGGAGGCTCATTGCTCATTTGAGATGTGCTCTCCCGAGAAGATAAGATTGCAGTAATTAGATCCATTAAGGAGCCAGAAGAAATCAATGATTTTTAAAACTGAAAGAGACTTTGCTGCATTTCTGACAGGTATTCTTTGCCTCTCACAGAGCTGCTTTCCTCTCTCCCTGGCAGCAGAGATCTTATTTAGTGTTGACTTTTCATTGTTTCTGGTGTTTAACCTCTGATCCTTCCCTAAATGTGGGCAGGTGAGGACGGGCCGTGAAAAGCAGCATGGACCTGGATGTGCTGAACATGTTTGTCATCGCCGGTGGCACCCTGGCCATCCCCATCCTGGCTTTTGTGGCCTCCTTCCTCCTTTGGCCCTCAGCACTCATCCGCATCTACTACTGGTGAGTTCATCAACTAGGCTGCTCTTGTTTTAGTGCGTGGGGGGTGCTACTGCTGGTCCCCATCGGGTCCCTGCTCCCTGGCACACCCTCAGGGGCACAGAGAGTCCCTGGGCAGCAAGGTGACACAGGCAGAAGTGGGTGCTCCTGCCTGTGATGGTGAAAGGAGCAGGTGAGGTGGAGTTTCCATGGGCATATTGGCTGTGTGCAGCTTTAAGCATCTTTGTGAGAATAAAGTGGCATTTTCTTATTGTTGTTTTGCTACTGAGGCTCATGTCTGTCAGGGCAGCCTGAGTTGGGCTGTGGAATATCTCCGAACGTTTCTGGGTCATTTCTCCCCAGGACTGGACCACGACTGGGAAAAACATTGCTGAAGCCGTGTACCCCCCATCCTGGCAGACCAGGCAGGCTGATGACCTCCCGCCTTGTCAATGCAGCCGTTGGTGCGGTTGTCCTCGGCTCTGCCGTGGCTTCCTTGGCTCACACGCTCCCTCCCGGTTAGCAGCCTGTGTGGCAGGCAGGGATTTTTCTCCTGCGAGTAGTTACAGACAAGGCTTTTCTCATTCTGCCTCTCTCTTCTGGGCTGGAGCATCAGAGAAGATGGAGTGATGCTTTTCCTTTGCCCCTTTGCATCTCTTACTTTCCGATACTAGGAGGCAAGGGCTACATCATTTGGTCTTCATCTGCCCCTGGAAATCAGCGATAAGCACACTGGCAGCTTTCCAGTCTGGGCTTGTTGCAGGTGAAAGCTGGAATAATGGTCCTTTCAGAAGCCGGGGCAGCAGCTGCTGGCAGATGGTGGCTCCTGCGGTTTTGCTCACGGGGTGTTTCCAATTCAAAGTGACCTCCTGCGAGAGGAGGATGCTAGCCCAGCCGGCACTCAAATGCAGCAGCGTGGTGAAGCCTGATTCTAACAGTACATTCATGAGCAATCTTAATCTCAGCATCTGGGGGCTGAGAGAGGAGGGAGGATGGGATGAAAACTGCAGCAACTGGATTGGAACAGGCGAGAATTTCTTCATGTTGTGCATCTCATGGGGATCTCCAGAGACAAATGTTCTGCAAAGGAGAGCAGGCGTGACAGCCTCCTGCTCCAGGCATGTCCGGGCAGCTGCCAGGGACAGGTCCAGACGGTACCGAGTTTGTCAGTTAAAGGGTTGGGTTTTTTCCATTTGAGCATATGAACAGCTGGTGGAAGCCAGGGAGGACACTGGCAGGCTCAGGTTCATAGGAGGATAGCCAGAGCAATGCTGCCACAGCAGAGCAGAGCCCGTGTGGTCGGGAAAATGCTTTCAGAGGGTTACACACAGGGGCAGCAGGACAGGGCTGATGGCCGGAGCTTTAAGGACCTGAGCTGAGAGGGAGGTAGAGAAGCCCCTGCTGCCTTATCCTTCAGAGCTGCAAATTAGAGGCTGTGTGAAAATACACCGTGGGTAGGTGAGTCTGTGTTTGGCTGAGAGCGTGTGAGCAGAGATCAGCAGGGCTGTTTTCTTTTGAAGGGCAAGTGCCCCCATCTCTGCCAGCATTTTTGGCAGCATTGGCATCTTGCAGGAGTAACTGTGATGCTCTGTGTTTCATGGGCACCTCTTTTCTCAGGGTCAGCAAGCAAGAAAGGTGGGTTTGCCCTCAACTCTTCCATTCCTATTTCCTTTCTTCCGAGTTAGCTTTTTGGGGCACAAAATCATTGTGTTTCCCCACTGGTGGAGGCAGGGGAGGAGGCAGGCAGCGTGCCACGCTGTCTCTGCTTTTCAGCCCCATGCAGCTCTGTCTTCACAGCATTTCTAGGATGTCCCTGAGGACCCTTCTCCCTTTTCCCACCACTTACTGCCCCCTCGTCCTTCTCGCTGCTGGTCTGTGTGTCCTCAGCCTGTGCAGCCGAGGGTCACCCTGGACTCCCATTGCCAATGGTCCTGGCTCCCTCCCCTGCCACTAATGCGCATCCCTGCTGGGAGTGACATCCGGGGCTGCTGCCCCGTTGACCCCAGCCCCAGAGCCTGCCTGCTCCGCCTGCTCCGCTGACAGGGGTTAATCAGTTTAGCCGCTGCCACTAAGCGCGTTAGCACCTTGCGAGGGATCAGTTCAGCTTTGCACAGATTATTTTGCCTTCTGCTGAATTGATCCATCAGGATCAGTTGCTAAAAATGTTATCATCTGGCCCATTGGTAGTTTACACCAGTGCCTTTGAGGCGAGGGCTCTTAAGACACTTATTCAGGGAGAAATTCACCTCTCCTTGCAGGACCAGCACAGAGCTGAGATGCTGCTTAAGTCCCCCTAACTCCTTCTAAAAAGGGATTATGCTAAAAGAGGATTGCACTATGCATAAGCTTTGAGTGGGCAGAGAGCTAGGACAGCCTCACAATGTTAGTGACCTTGCTTTGGTGTCTCACATAAATTCTGATGTTGTGTATAAAAGTATTTGACGGTACCTTGGCCATCAAGAGTAGCTTGGTAGTTGTCCTGAGAAGAGTTATGTCTGAGTATAGGGAAAACGCAGAGAAAGTGTGCCTGCTCCGCCATCTCGGACTGCACGTACACATCATGTGTCCAAAGTGTCACCGATAATCTCTGCCCAGGTCCCCTCTGGCTGGCACTTCCACTGCATCCTCCTTGAGCAGGCTGTGAGCGTGGGCTGGCCGGAGCTGCCTGCCTCTGCCTTTGGAGGAATAACCCAGGTTTCCCTGGGGTTAACTCAGTATCTTCTGGGGTGTTTAACTCTGTGTAAGGATGATCCTTCCTCGTCCTTTGTGTGGGCATAAATACATTTTTAAGATCATCTAGTTTGTATATGGGGAATGGGTTTTACTGGTGACGTGGTTATTTTGGCTGGGATCCTATGTGCGTGTCCATGGTGTGGTGCTGTCCCACAGCTGCAAGAGTGTGCCCAGATTAACCTGTGACAGATCCACCTGGAACAAGTGCCTCCCTTGGCCTGCCCATTCTGTGCGCTGCCTTGCCGTGTGTGCTGCCTTTATCTCCTGAGGCTCTCTCCTCCTACCAGCCTCTGGGTGTTTGTAGCTTTAGGGTTGTTATTTTGGCCCATTCTCATTGCCTTGAGGGAACTGTGCAAATTAATTATTTCAGTTATTTTTTGAAGTCCTTACAAAACAGGGTGTCTCCATAAGCCATCTGCAGTGCAGCCATGAATTGCCAGTGGCTGGTACTACACCTGTACAGGATCACGTGTAAGCATAGGGTCTGTTCTGGCAACTAGATGCTGGGAATTAGTCCCCTTTAGGGCCATGACAGCACTGATGTGAGCCCAACCTAACTGGCTGTAGCGAGTTAGCAAATCTGTGGCTGAGTTTGGACTTGTCGCCTGGCTTGCATTGCCACCGGGCCCTGTTCTTGCCTCACTCATTGGTGTTTTCTCCTTGTTTCCAGGTATTGGCGCCGAGCCTTGGGTATGCAGGTTAGATATGCAAACTACGATGACTATCAGTTTTGTTATTCCTATAGAGGGAGACCTGGATACCGACCGTCCATCCTGATGTTACATGGATTCTCAGCCCACAAAGACATGTGGCTGTCTATAGTCAAGGTGGGACTCCATTTCTACCATGTTGCCACTTAGTGAGAGTCAATGGTCCTGGGCTTGAGGGCGGTGTGGGAACCCAACGGTTGCATGCATAGGATGGGGTATCACTGTAACATGCTAGAAACACCCTCCTTAGATCTGTGCTCATTGTTCATTGGATCCTTTTCATCCCTGTGACATGCACAGCAGCAGGGGAAGAGCAGTATGTACCTGCCTCCTCCATGGGGAGTGAGTCTTGCCCATGGTTTCTCATCACGTCATCCATGGTACATGAGCTGGCTTATTCTGGTGCACGAGCAACCAGGGGCTGCTAGGAGGAGAGCGAGCCCCCTGCTCCAGCAGTGGGCACCAGTTTCCACCCCTGGACTTCACAGCAGTTCCCCTGCACTGTAACCACCTCCAGTTTGTTTCTGCAGTTCCTGCCGAAGAACCTGCACTTGGTGTGCGTTGACATGCCTGGGCACGAGGGCACGACCCGCTCAGCCTTGGACGATTACTCCATTAGTGGGCAAGCTAAGAGAATACACCAGGTAATGCCCCAGCGTTGCACTGCCTCTGCAGAGGGATGCAGGGACACGAGGGATGTGGGGACACAAGGGGTGCTAAGTCCCCTGAGCCTTGCCCCTTGCAGCCCCACTCCCTCCCTTCCCAGCCATCAACCTCAAGCTTTTTGTTGAATATATCTAATGACCCTACACCCTTTCTTCCTCCCCTCTAACAATGCTCCCTTGTCAGTTCGTGGAGTGCATCAAGCTGAACAGAAGGCCCTTTCATTTGGTTGGTACTTCCATGGGGGGGAACGTTGCTGGCGTCTACGCTGCTCAGTACCCAGAAGACATCTGCAGCCTGACCCTCATCTGTCCTGCAGGTGAGCAATGCAGGGGAGGTGAGATGGGGAGAGAGTGAGCAGGAGTCAGTGCAGAAGCCCAGAGCAGCACCGGAGGAAATTGAGGCCTTTACTGCAAAGTATTTTGAAATAATTTATATGTACAGCCTGAAAAACTCTGGCAGGGTGCACTTCCAGGGCACAGGAGGAAATCACAGCCTTGGCCTGACTGCTCTTCTCCAGGGCTTTGGAGTCTGCTGCACTGTGCCATGGTTAGAGCTGGGACTAGGGACAAGTCGTACTCTGGAGGAACATGTGTTTCGCCTTGGGGTGGCAGCTGTTTCACTTGGCATGTCTGTAGGCTCTTAGTCTGGAGGGCAGCAATGGGAAAAGTCTCCCCAGTCTTGGCTGCTTGAGAGCCTGTCGTGCCAAAGGGATGGGCTGCCGGGAGCCGTCGAGCTCACTCCTCCCACCTCTGGGTGCTCCAAGTGGGAACGGCGCTTTGGGGCCAGGCGCTGGGCAGCGGGACATCCCCACCACCCCCCTGGCTGGGGCACTCAGGCTAGCGTGGCCATGACGTACTGCAGGTGGGATGGTGGGTTTGGCAAGAAGCTTCTCTGCCAGGGAGGGCTTTGCTGAACCCTGGTTGTTATAGCAGCTCCTTCACCCTCCCACACAGGGAAGGCAGCTCTCAGATAAGAAATAAGAAATAAGTAATAAAGCAAAGCGCAGGGTTACCTAGCTACCAGGCTCTGGGGGCGGCACGGTTCCCTTTGAGTTCTGGGAGAGGTGTTGGCCAATTCTTCGGATGTTTCTGGATGTGAAGCCTCTGTGTGGAAGCTGCAGAGAGATTTGGGATTAAGCTGCTGGGGGTGCAGTGGTGCATGCAGATGGGGCTTCTCAGATTTTCTGTCTGACCTTTGCTGTAGCAGGCTGGGCACAGGCATTAAAATAAAAAAAACAACCACTGTAGTTTTTGCCAAAGTGTTTCGCCTTGTCTACAGGCAATACATCTCATGTTACATCAGCCTGTGGGCCTCGGGGTGTCAAGCCCTGGAGCAGGAGGGAGGCTGGGGTACCTCCAGGTGCATCTTAAGGTAGCTGTATGTACAGATTTTATTTTCCCCTCTGTTTTTTTTTTTTTAATGATTGAGCAAGTTGGAGGCCAGAAGCAGGGATGATGGAGGTCAGTACAGTGATGATCTCTCACTGGAGCTGTTGGGGTCTCATCCAGGTTTTAGCTTGTGCCCCCATTCTCATTTGACCCAGGCCTGCCGAGTACCACCGACAGCAAGTTCATTAAGCAGCTCCGGGAACTGCAAGAGTCCGACCGCATCGACAGGATCCCTTTGATTCCCTCGACGCCCGAGGAGATGGCAGATATGCTGAAGCTTTGCTCCTACGTTCGCTTCAAGGTGCCGCAACAGGTGAGGAGCCCGGGATGGCTGTGGCAGCCGGGAAAGGGGGGCTTGGAGGTGGGGGGCAAGTTTGCTTCTCCCCAAGCCTGCATGACAGCAGCCGAGGTGATGCTGGGCACAGAGCCTGTGCTGCCACCCTCCCCAGCACCCAGGCAGGACACCCCACCCTGTTCCCAGCATCTTTCCAGCACTTTCCCTTCAAACCTACTTTTCCCACCACCCTCCAGCAGCTCCCACTGAGATTTCTCCTCCAGCGAGGTCTGTGGCAGTGGGCTGGGATGTCAAAGTGCTTTTTAGTTAATATGGCTGTCAGGAAGCATTAAATAAGGCAGCTGCTGTCCGGCTTGGAGGAGGATTCTTTGCTGTTTTTAAAGCAAAAGTGAGGGAAATGTTAATTGCCTTATTGTCAGGAGAGAGGAACTTGAGGAGGGGCTGGCCATTAAACTGGTTTTCCTTAGGAAGTCTGGAATGGGTAGATTGGAGAGTAAGAAAAACCATAAGGTAGCGCCAAGACCTTTTCTTTTTTCCTTTTGGGAAAAGAATAAAAGAAGGAAGAAAAGCACGGTCATGGCTGAGACAGCCATGGATAGCTGGCCTGGGGGAGAAATTTAGGTTTGCATTATAAAAGACAAAAATACTTATTGCTAAAATACATGTTATTTAAGCACGGTTGCACAGCCACACGTACTTGGGGAGTGGCTCACACTGGGGCCAGGCTGCGGGGGTGCAGGGAGGTGGCGGGGCAGTTCCTGGGAATGTTCAGCCCCATGCGGGGCACGGATGTGTCCCCCAGCAGCTCTCCTTTGCTCTCCTGCAGATCCTCCAGGGCCTCGTGGACGTTCGCATCCCACACAATGATTTTTACCGAAAACGTAAGTGTGTGGCAGCAGGCCCCCTGACCAGGCTTTCCAGACAGACCCCTGGGGCGTGGCGATGGGCTGTCCCTAGCCCCTGTGTTCCCAGCAGGCTGCCTGACCCCAGCACCCCCCAACTGCCTTGCTGAGGGTGGGAGAGGGCAGTGCCATTGACAGATTTGGGGATGCACCGTGGCTGCTAGTAACAACCCACCACCACCCCCATGGGCAATGAGATTGCTGCTTCAGCCTCATCCTGCCAACTGGGTAAATTAGTACTAATACCTACAAGAAGGAGGGTTGTGAGGAGGATGTTTCTGAAGAGGGGCTTGGTGGTGGTGCAGGACTCATCCTTTGCTAGGGCTGCCCACTGGGGCTCTCCATCACCCCTGCCTGCGTTTCCCGCAGTGGGGATGCTGACAAGGCAGGGAGCCTTGCAAGAAGGGAGGGCAAAGCGTTCCCCTTGTAGGACTGACTATCCTTTTGTTTCTACTAGTGTTTTTAGAAATCGTGGATGAGAAGTCCAGGCACTCTCTCCATGAGAACATGAGCAAGATCAAAGCGCCAACGCAGGTCATCTGGGGAAAGCAGGACCAGGTACGCAGCCCCTCTGCCCGCCCCACGGGACTGTGTGTCCATCTCTGCCCGTGTCCACCCGCTAGGGCACGGTGGGGGCTGCGAGGTGCTGGCACATGTGTGTCCCCATCCCCGGTGGGTTTGGACATGGGGGCTTGGAGGAGTGATGAGCAGAAAGATGCCAGCAAGTGTGGGGCCTGGGGGAGGAGAGGACGGTGCTGGGGCTGGGGAGGGCGAGGGGCATAGTGCCAGCAAAGAGAGTTGTCCTGGCAGCTGGTGGGCAGGCTTTAAGGCAAAGGCCTGGGGCTTCATAGGGCAGGTTACAGAGCGAGGAAGGGGAGGGGGAAGGAGGTGAGCTATGGGCTCTCTGTAAATGCAAAGTGCAAGTGTTTGCTTGCAAGTACCTTTTGCACTGAGCCACCAGCCAAAAGAGCATCCAAGAGAGCTCCCTGCCGCGTGCTGAGGCCAGCACCATGCAGCCTCCCTGTCCTGTCCTCAGGCATGGGTGCCATGGGTGCGGCTGGGAGCTGGCAGCACAAGGACTGTATCCATATCTCTGCTCAGCATCTTGCTTGGAGCTTGCAAAGGCAGCCTCGACAGGGTTTCTGCAGTGTCTGGCAAAACCTAGGTCTGCCCATGGGAGTGACTGTTTTTCCCCACTGCCATCCAGGTGCTGGATGTTTCTGGTGCCAGTATTTTAGCGAGTGCTATCCCAGACTGCCACGTGTACATCCTGGAGAACTGCGGGCACTCGGTGGTGGTGGAGCGGCCCCGCAAGACAGCCAATCTCATCCTGGAGTTCCTGGCGCTGCTGCACAGCATAGACAACCACAAGAAGCAGGCGTGAGCGTGGCGGGGAGCCGAGTGCCCATGCCACGTCTTTTAAATTGTAAAGTACTGCAGCTTTGATAAGTTCTCAGGGATCTTGTATGAATTGGAGCGAATGTGCCAAAGTCCCTGAGGAAGGCAGAATCAGATACCTAAACTTATGGCACCGCCGGCACAGCGACCTAGGGGTCATTGAGCAACCTCCATAGATACAGGAATGGAAGCAGAATCTCTCCCTTTTCTACTTAGAGATAAAGTAGAAATGAGCGGAAATCACCAAGCGCTAGCCATGCTGTGTGCTGAAGCTCCTTACGCAGCCATCCATCTTACCTGAGTTACCGGCAAGTAGTTGTTAATGACATTTACCTAAACTATGTAAGAAAGGTAGGAAGGAGGAAGTGTCCTGAACTGAGACTTAAAATATTTCTACTACTTAGATTCTATTGTGTTGCATGCTGCTGTGCTGTAAGAGAACCCCAGTGCTCCAGGCATCCACTCGAGTGCTCTTTGTGTAGCTCCTTAACTCATGACTTATGCAGAAAACAACAGAAAACTTCATACGTGGAACTCCAGTGACTGTGTGTGCAAAAATGTTTACACTTTGAGTGGGTTTTTTTAAATCCCCGAACAGCTCCTGCATATATGGAATGCCTTAACATTGCCCAGGGCACGGCATCTGCGCACAGCCTGCCTCGCCCAGGGGATGGTTCGCCCTGAGGGTGAACAAAGCGAGTGAAAACTCGGGGTGCAGGCAGCAGCTTTGGCGCCGTTGTGCAAACCGGAGGGATGGAAACCCCTGGGGGCGATTTGGTCCCCGAGCCCCAGCCAGCAATAAGCCTGTGGGCACGGTGCGAGTCAGCAAACTCCGGCAAACTCTTGTCTCAGCTCTCCTACCACATCACTCTGCTGAACACCTTGGTGTAAATAATGATTTTATTAATGAATTCCATGAATTCTGTGAAGGCCAGTGTCAGTGAAAGCGGGTGTGAGGGCTGGGAGCGGGCTGCCGGGGTTGTGGGCTCCTGGGCTGCGAGGTGCTGCGTTTGGAGATGTGCACTTGCGCATCTTCTTGACTGTAGCTCCTGGTCTAGTGAAATTACAGATAGAAAGGGGCAATGCAGCTGAGGTGCTTTGCAGACTGCGAGGTGGTGTACATGGATGGATCCTGCGCCATGCTGGTCCCTCGCTGCACATTCCAGCGGGAGAGGTCTGGTCCTGGTCTCTCCCGTGGCTGCTGGGGGACAAGGTGGTGCGTGGTCCCCTCGAAGGCAAAGCAGGGGGCGGCCATCACCCTTCGGTCACCCCCAGCCCTCCTTGGAGGTGGACACCAGGTTCTGCCAGACCCCCCCTCCGCAGACTGGGGTGCTCACAGGCATCTTCTCGCCATTTTTCTCAGATACCCCGACCTGTACAGATATCTGGAACTCTCCATCAGCTTCTCTGCTCTTTTTAAGAGAAGAAATGTTGTTCTTTTAGAAAATTAGAAATTTACTGTTAATTGCTTGGTTATTGTTTCTACTACAGGAGTTGATTTAAAAAAAAATAATTAAATATTGCTCATAGTTTTATGTGGTAAAAGCCAGAAAAAGTTGTTGGGCATCTATATGGTTTCTCATATGCCACAGATTGCTGTACACAAAGGATTTATATGGCTATTAAAATCTAGTGATTTAAGGAGTACACTGTGCAATGATTATTTTTTCCTTTGAGGAAGAAGGGGGTTGTGGTACAGGATGACATATGGCACTAGGGACTTTCTCTGCTGCTTCTTCCCTCCCCACGTTTCTGGGAGATGCAGGTTTTGCCTTGAGGAATATTTGATAATGCCAAGAGAGATGGTGAAGATTGGGAAGGCTCAAGTATCACCTCTTCAAAGACAATATGAATTTTGCTTTTTTCTTTTTATTATGAGGAGGTGGCCCTAAATACTCAACAAGCAAAATAAAACCTCAAGGGGCAGGGGACTTAAGTTTTAAGTGCTAAGAATCCTCTTAAAACTCTTGAAAGTATGTTAAACAGCAATTTCAGCTGTAATTACAAGTCATATTGAAGGCATACAGTGTGCTAGGAATAACGTTACATCAATATCCAGGCAAAAGCGTTTGTCTTTCTCCTTTCCCCAGGAGGCTGTCGGGTGCCAGCAGCTGCTTTGTGTGACAGAGGAGGGCTGGGGAGCATCCTGCTGGGGTGGCACACATTGGAGCCTCTCATGGTTCACTGAAAAAAATCCCAGAGCTATTTGGGAAGAAGGGGTGTGAGTGCTGGCCCCTTGGCAGTAGCTGAGCGCACTGAGAAGAGGTGGGGAGGGGATGCTGCCTGCACCTGGAAACACACCTGAAAGCACAGCTGATAGCACTGATCATTATTCCCACTAACCCTCATTTCCTGCTGGGAGCCAGAAAAGCCCCATGCTGCGCAGGGGCTGCCTCTTTGGCACTGAGCTTCCAAAGAGCCCTGGTCACTCTCAGGTAAGGCTGTGTTCCTGGTCCTTGCAGGGTGCTCAAGAAGAGGCAGAGGGTCCTGCTTTTCCTGGTGGGTTTGGGTGTCCTGTGGGCAGAGCAGGAGGAGTGGTGGTGGACTAGTGGGTCCTGGCTGTGGTGATCTTGAGCACTGGGAAACTGCATGTAGCCTGGGCATGGCAGGGGGCAGAGGTTTGCCTTTATGTGTGTCGCCATTTTAAGTGTTGCTTACAAATAAACTAGGTCTGTGCTGGGGCTGGGTGGCAAGGGAGGTGCAAGGTCATATAAAAGCTAAGTAAAGAGCTGGCCCTCGATCGTTGCAGATCTTGCCAAGGCTGATTTACTGTACTCTGAGAACAGGTTGCAAACCACAATGGGGACGGCTTGCTAATGAACATAATGATGCCTCTGAGAGAGCTGTTTTGCTGCTGAGCATCCAGGTCCATGATGATTCTCGTCTACCTGCTCCTGGGCTGCTGCTGGGAGCAGGAGGGACAGAGCTAGTGGTGGCAGCTGCTCCCAGGCACTCTGGATGTGCCCAGCTGCTGCTGAAGGGGGAAATGTGGTGCTCTGGAAGCATGAGTACCCAGGAAAACCTGGATTGTGTCCTGCTCCACTACAGCTACAGCTAGATATTTGTCTGCAGTGGAGAAATATTTTTCTCCCTTTTTTTTTTTTCCAACAAAGGAGAATAACAGCATCTGCTGCCTCATGGTGGGTTTCACCAGCACAGCCCTGAGTAAGGCATCCTCTGGCAGGTGGGGCAATGCTTAGGGTCTCCGTTACTATGGTTTGGGTGCTACTGTGGGTGACCCTCGCCCTGGGAGCCCATCACCCAGCTGAACCTTCCCGTGGCTCAGTGTGTTTCACAGTTCTCTTGGGCACCAACCATAGAAGCCTGGATGGGAGCACCGCGGGGTACAGCCCCGCTTACTCACTGTAAGAGGGGGCACTGCAGCCCTCCCACCCGTGTCCCAGCACACCAGGGGGCGGTGCAGACACCTGTTCCCTGTTACACCTGCGGCTGCCTCGGCATGTGGGGAGGGTCCCCTGCCTGGACCCTCCAGCTAAAGCTTGCGGTGAACGGAAGGAAAATGTATAGACTCTGGTAGGGGCTTTGATTTTGGTTGTTTTTCCTTATGGCAGGCCCTTTTCTGAACATCAGCCTCTTGGGGGCAGTTTGGGATTATTCCCTGGATACTTGCTGGGCCGCCGGCACCCGGTGCTGCTCCTTGCCATTCCCTGCCCGACAGCGCTGCCTGCCTGCTGCCTTCAGCTTTCCTTCCTACAGAAAAACCGTGTTCCGTTATCTCAACACGGTCGCTGTTTGGTTTCGGGTTTCGTTTTTTTTTGTTTTTAAATGTCCAGCAAGGTAGCTGTGAACAGAGCGCTCTGACAAGGGCTTTGGCTGTTCCTTGAAGCCCCATGTCCAGCATCGTGCTGCTTTCTGAACCCCGTTCTTTCCCAGAAACTTCTGTTTTGCTCTGGAAAGCAGGACCCACCCACAGCCCCAGTGTGCTGCTCTATTGATTTTATTTGTTTTCTTGCATTCTGAGAAAAGCTAGACAGGAGCATCGGATGAGCTGGCAGGTTTCCGGTAACAGCACAGGGACTTGCGTTTGGAGGGCATTCCCTTGGCCTGGGCTCTGGACGACCGCAGAGCAGGTGACCTGCATTCCTTGAGTGCGTACACAAAGTCCGTGCAAGCAACATGCCAACACAACTGCAGGAGATACTTCATGCAGGCTCACTTCTGCCTTTGCCACCCGAGAGCTGGGGACGCCCAGGAGAGCTCAGGTACCAGATCAGAGTCTGTGCCTGTGCCCTGAAGCCACATAATGGGATAGTAGTAATGTCAGGCTGGGATAAACTTCGAGAGATCATCCAGACCATACCTAGATCAACGCCTGCAGTGGCCCCAGGTGACCCTACTGGTCCTGGACATCTCACCACAGCTCCCCAGGAGGTATTAAGCTCACAGGGTGTCCTGATGAGTAGTCTGCATCTCTGCTGAAATTTAAGCTTATTACTTCTCCTATGCCATCAGATGTTGGGAGCATGTTCCTAACTCCCTTCAGCACCTTCTTGTGTGTTTGCAGACTTGCTGTGTTCAGAATAAAATCCTGTGTGCTCTGCCAGCTGGTCTTATACCCGGAGGGGGTAACACAGGCACCTGGGCATGAACCCTGGGCTCGGACTTTGCTGGCCAGTGCGTGTCTTGCTTCAGGAGTGTATTAAGAACAAACATCCCATTCGGTTCGGTTTCAAAATAAATAAATAGTAACAACAACAGTGTCCTCCCCCAACCCCCCCTGAATGATGTTGCTCAGCCTGTGAGTCACCCTTTCCTGCAATCTCACTTTCCAACCTGCCTTTGCACACTCGTTATTCATACCTGAGAGCAGAATACTGCATTGGTCTTTCCAGAATTACATCCTCCTTCCTTCCCCTCTCCCCTTTCTTATTTTTGTCTATTTGCCAAGATATGTGTGTCCTACCCCAGCCCTCTAGTGCGCCCCTTGGGGCAGTCTCAGCTGTGTATTCATTAGGCACCTTGTCCTCCAGCTCAATTAGTGAGCTACTGACAGAGCTGTGGAAAACAGTGTCTCCTTCCACTTCCACAGGGAACCACTGGTAATGAGTGATAATACCGTTGCTGCATGTTTTGTAGCCACCTTGCAGGTTGCGTTAATCTTGAGCCCCTTCACTTTTTCAGGGGGAATGACACAGCCTTGCTTATAAAAGTGCTACTAAAGCAGCACAGTTCCTAGTGCTCGCTCTTTGCCCCAGCGGCCTGTTATCCTGTTGCAAAAGAGAATTGGAATAGTGTGAATAGTTTTTGTTATCTGCCATCCTGCCAGTTTTCAGGTGCCTTGCATCCCCGTTCCCAAGCTGTTCTGGGACACCGTGGGGGCCACCTCCAGATCTAATGCCTGGAACAGCCACCTGACTTGGAGAAATAGCCCTTGGTGGTTT